TGTAAGTGAGCTACGCTTACGCAATTTTTAATATAGCTTTCAAATAATTATAAGAATGTTATTAGGTCCTTAAAATAATTATTTGGGCTATTATTATGAGTTATATTGAGTGTTATTTAACACTTGTATAATAACAATAATAGCCAGACTATTGATTTGTCACGGTTATCGTTAGACTAAACCCTAGTGGTATCGATACTAGGTTTTATCGAAGGAAAATTGTTTTAAGAGTATCGAAGTGCTGTTCGAGTGCTGAGTCACCACCTTTCAAGTGAGTGCATAGTTACTTTCAGCTTACACATAGATATGAAGTATTTTACATAAATTACGTGCTATGTGTGCATATTATCTGAATACTTGTTATTTATGCTGGATAAACATTGTTATACATGTTTTCAATGATTTGAACTGTATATGTATTTTATATCTACAAAAATGTTGGGGTAAAACATGGGTAGATGTAACAGGTGATATGTGATAAAATGATGAGAGGCCTCGATGTTATGTTGTTGATTCTGTCATTTAACGGACTATGGATGATGACCACAGACTATTCTAGACAGTCCAGTGGAACACTAGCAGACTCGCAACCTGTAGGTGTTTGTGAACGATGTGTTCACCGGTGTACTCCATCCTTTATATGGTTGCCTTTAGGACATTTATTACCGAGGAATCCCCTTAGCAGTAGTGTCCATCCCGATGATGATCCTTAGGATAGTTCCCTTATAATAGGTGCTTAGGGACGTAATGTGAGGATAACGGGAACGGGTAATCGGGTTATTGTTGATTGATGAAATTAATAAACTTATTTATTGTGGGTTGAAAACCCTATGTGCTCACCAGGCTCCCAAGCCTGACCCACTCAGTTTTATGTATTACAGGTAGTGGCGCTTGAGCATAGATATGATGTTTGGACGAGTGATTACGGATATAGGCCTATAGATATGAAATAATGTAGTAAGGCTTATATTGCATTGTTTATGCTTTTGATCTATACGAACATGACATCCCAAGTCTTTTAATGAAATACATTTCTATGGAAATGCTTTTGATAAATCTTTATCACATTTTGTTTTGGGACATTTCCGCAACACTTTTATTTAAAATGTTACTCTGATTTTCAAACAAAGCATAAACAAAACCGGTATTTTCTGGCCGTGAATTTGGGGATGTCACACTTCTGGGTCCTCTTCGATCCATCCGACATTTCCTTGATTGGGAAAGTACGGGTCGCCGGGGAGATGGAATCCAGCCATGAAATCTACGCGAGAATGGGGAATAGAAAAATTAGATAACGGATGATCTATCTAAGGAAAGTTTTAAGATGATATTTATCAGTTACTTCAATAGTTGCATAGTGCATACCAGCCACATGTAACTAAAACAAAATAGTCATTCGAATAAATGAACCTAACTCCAAATCCACAACCAAACAAGGAACATGAAATGAAGCAAAGATCATATATTCCGAGTCTATAACATCCTAGTCACATATAACCTTAGCGTATCCACTTAGCAGCCATTGACCTACTAATAAAGACTTATTTAGTTTTCAGATAAGTTGTTACAATTACACAAAATACTCCTATAGTATTTTAAGTTATCGAATGTTCTCATGTTTTCAATATAGTAGTGTTGGTAAGTTTTTAGACTTGCTGCAACATCGCAATCATTCTCAAGCACATGCTAATCAACCCTCGAAAAGATATAGTTGATCAGTCTCTATCAGTCCCAACTTTGATTATTTGTACTCAAGCCTACTCGTGTTGTCCAACAATCTTAATACTTTTGTTATGTTCTTAGTATGTTTTTGGTTTTAGTATGTTTGTATGTATACTTCATTAAATATTTTAATATTTAAAAGTATAACTCTTGCTCAGAGTATTTTATCCCATAATATTTATAGTTTGTATATCTTTTATGGGTTGATATACTTAATTCACTATAAACAATGCTCTGATACCAATTTGTCACACCCCCAAACCGAATTGACGGAAACATTCGGGGGCGGAGGACATCATGTACAGTATCATAACAATGTAAAGTAGTAAACAAGCAACAACATCATCCATTGCATTAATATAATAATTTATCAATGTGTGTTCTATAGTATAAATAAGACACCAAAATAATCAAAATAATGACGAGCTTTGAATATACTCCGTCTTCTCAAAATCTGGCCATCAATACCTGTCTACTGTCGACCTGAGAATACAAGTTATTTTGAAAGAGGATCAACATTTAAGTTGGTGAGTTCATAAGTATTTAGTGTCATTAATGTTGTAAAATGTAGGTTGAAAATGTTCACCGAAAATGTTTGTAGTAAAAGTTTGTAACTATTTGTTGTAGTGAAAGATTCATTGTAAATGTTTTGTAAACTGTTTGTAAAATCGTATCTCCTTAGAAAATCATATTTTCTACTAAAATGTAGCCTTCTACCAAGACCCAAATGTTCTGTTTGTTTATTTGTAAGAGTATGCATTTTTCCCGAGTATTACTATTATTATCAAAATATAGTTTGCACATTATCGTTTATTGTGAAAACGTTCCATGGTATATGTGTTAGGGAAAATATTATAGTATTGTAGTTTGTATGTGGTAACTACCGTAGTACTAATTACCTTAAAGCCAATGAATTATAAGGTAAATGTAAAGATACTCGTAACCATAACGATTAACGGATGAAACACGACGACCTGTTGGTGTCGAAATAAATGTGACATTTGTCACCCCTTGGCTTGGTCAGCTGGGGACTTTAACTAGCAGTCAGGGTGCGGGATGGTTTGTCTCGTATAGATCTATACACACAATGCATGCTCTCCCTCCAGGAGACTCTGGTTACCAACGAGACAACAGTGAAATCCGCGTCATGAGGATGTATCTCATACTCTAAATGTTATGTTCGTGTATGTTCCTTCTGTTTACTTGTAAATGTATATGTATATGTATATGTTCTCTTCTTTGTACTTTTATATGTATATGTTCTCTTCTCTGTACTTGTATATGTATATGTTCTTGTTTGTTCCACATCATAGTAAGTTATGTTTGTGTCTCATCATAGTATGTTCTTGTAATAGTAAGTAGTGATCTCCTAAACAATACCTATTATAGTTTACTTGAAGTGATGTTTGTATGCTTTAGCATTTTTGCATACCTTTGCTACCCAAAGGCATGGAACTGAAGTAAAAACTTTTATATCTATACACATATACATAATATATAACTAAGATTTCAACGACCTTCAGACAAATAACTGGGTACTCTAAGTCCACAACCTAACAAGGAACAGGAAATAAAGTGGGCTATCAGTCCTAAGTCCTTCAAATCCTACTTATATAACTATATCTGTATAGACATGAATTTAATAATAATATAAGTTTAAAAGAGTTTAATAAAAGGTTTAGTAATTAAAAGAGTTTGAAAAGAGTTTAGAAAACAGTTGTTTGATAACACATTTTGAAAAGTATACAAATCTATTTGATTGACAGTTATTAATCACATGTGATTGATATAATAGCTTAATAATTCAACTTGTATCCCCCCCCCCCTCATAAAAGCATTTAAAATCATTTCAAAGGTTGATTTAGGGGTATGAACTCACCTGAAGTGAGTAACTCGAATGAAAGATCGATATAGGATTGTCGGGTATCAAATGAGTCTTGAGCACAAACAAATCCTATTTAAGATGTAATTACACATATATGAATACATTTAGGGTATAAAACCACTAATAGACCTATGGACACGCCTCAGCGACATAAAAATACTTAGAATTAAGTGCTATCAACACCTATTGATGCACTTCAAGAGTGTATGACTCTAGATAGGAGTGTAAGTTTTGGGTGTGTGTGGCCAGGTGTATGGCCAAGGTGTGTGGACTGGCATGTGTGCGGCCGCACACTCCCTAAGAAGTGTGTCCAAATCGTGTTTCCAAGCCATGAGGGTGTTCTAAGGACAATGTTTTGGCCGTTTCTAAGCTTGGATGGGTTTTAAGGCCATTTTAGGTGCTAAAATAATGTGTGCGGTCACACATGGCGTGTGCGGCCGTACACACATGAAGATCTTAAGAAGGTGGTGATCTTGAGGCTTAAATCCAGGAAGAAGGTAAGCTAGGGTGATGCACCAATGATCTAAGGTAGTATACTTACCTGATTGAAGAATGAGAGGGAGATCTTGGCGGTTCTTAAGAGAAAACGTGTCCCAGCTTTGAAGGAATGGGAATTTGGTTTAAAGTTAGCCAAGGGTCCTATATAAAGGTGTGGGTGTAAGGCTGGGAGGGTGTACGGTTGGGTGTGTGCGGCCGCACACACCATGTTTGGTGTGTTTGGCTCAATTTCAAGATGCCTCACACTCACAAACCCTTCCGAAGACCCATATCTAGGTTATAATAGGCTTAAAGCACTCACATAGACCCAAGACTGCGTTAAAAGATAGCAAAAACGAGGACAACTTGGATAGAAATGATATATGATTGCACAAGCTAGAAATTTCGAGTTGTCACAGTAGGGCTTCTCGCCACCTTTACGTGGATATAAGGTTTGTTGGAAACGGACTTAGGATGAGGGAGTTATGACATTTTGAAGATATTGGCAAATGTGGCCCCTAATGGAAATATTTGGCAGATCAGCCCTATGCATGTGAGGGTGCATGCACGTGTTTGGTTGGGTACGCCTAACGTATAAGGCAATGTGGGTTGCAGGTGGTTTGTGTGTACGCTGGGCGTACTAAGGGGTACGCGGGGGGTACCCCATTCAAAGCAAAACCCTAATTTCGGGGTTCCTACCCTATATAAGCAACATTATACCACCCCTTTGGTCATTTTAAGTCAGCCGCCACCTCTTTTGACGTTCATGAAACCCTAAAGCGCCTTGAGTAAGTTTTTGGACCTTGGAGATGAGTGTTTATGGTGATTTGTGTAAGATAAGAAGAAAGTTGATGACTCATTACCTGGAGGGAGCTTGTAGATCCAGAAAGTTCTCATCTTTTGCAATCTAAAAGCTATGATCTTTTCTTCTCATTTCATAAATCTTCTTTTGGGTTTGTTCTTAGTCATTTTAGCCTCTTTTGGGTGGTCTTGTGAGTTCTAGTTGTTTTAGAAGTTGTTATCGTGGATTTGGATGTTTTGGGTGTCCCAAAGGCATAAAAATGTGATCATTATGGTTTAGTTGGACTCATGCATGTGTTAAGACCTTTCATTAAGCTCTTTTAAGTTCCAAAGTCCCATTAAACCATGTATGTAAGTAAAGTTGTCAACTTTAAGTATTAAGTCATTTGTGAGAATCAGACTGGAGAGTTGGAACAAAGGCTGAAGTGATTAAGTGCTTATTATTATTATTATTATTATTATTATTATTATTATTATTATTATTATTATTATTATTATTATTATTATTATTGTTATTGTTTTATCAAAAAATTTATTTAGAATCAAGAAATTTTTATATAAATTCACATCTGGCTCAAATAAAAGAGCCAAAGTCGAAGTTATGCTATTGGTCGATTGGTTATTTGTTTCACAGTTCAATGGGCCACGGTCCAGGGGATAAGTTTAGGGTATGATGTTACGCCTATAAAAATTGATCCATCTCCACCTTAGGGTTCCGGTACAGCGTAGAGCGGAGGAGAAGCCGGCAAATCAGGGGACGATTGCTTCACGTAATAACGGTAATCAATTTCATTACTTCTGATACTGATCACGATCCGGATTCGAGGACAATGGTTTTGTTTAGTTATATTCTAGGGTTTGTTTTCTGTGTTTCTTTTTCATTCTGATATAAGTTTCCATGGTTCATCGACTCTGAAGAAGTTAAGTTTATTTATTTTGCATCAAATTTAGGCGTAAAAAAGTTTCAAATTGATCGAAAAATTAGTTTTTTCTATATCTAATTGGAGGAGCTGTAGACTATCGGATAAAATGCCTTTACAAAGTTGTTTCATTTTCATCTTAGTTTGGCTTTTTTTGAAGGGGGACAAGACAAGTCGAATATTAATGTAAAATTTGTTTTCCCATGGTTTTATGTGCGTGATTCATGGATCTGCTGTATGTTTGGCATTGTTTAACTCTGTTGATTGGTTGTATTCAGCATTTCAGCTCATTTTTACCTTTGACTTTTGAACATGTTTGCTACTATGATTATGTTGGAACATTGAACACATTAGTTTTCTTACATAAAGAATTATGTAATATGTATTTTGTCAGTTTATAACAACTTAAGTATGAATACAACAGTTTATGTACATGTATACATGCATAGCATAAGCATATCTAGTCTGCATCAATAATTAACAATGATTGGGCAATTTTAAGTGGGATCCGGTGAATTAATTATCCATATGTATATCACAAGGCAGTTGAATTGGTTTTGGGCTTTGGTTTTTGAACTCTTATTCAGGCTTCAAAAGTCAACCAACCGCAGATGGATGGGGAAAAGAAGACTGGATCAGGTTTGTATGCACTTATAGATACTCACTTAGCACTTATCCATCCTTTAATGTAAAAGATATACAAAGAAGAAGTTGATTTAAAATCTTTAAGTTGTGATTTGCTAATTATGTAACTCTCTAACTACTTATACACCAGTAATTTCTTCTATGGAGAATGGAACACCCAACACCTTAAATCGGTCATCAAGGTGTGGGGTTTTGACTTCTGGCTTTCTCTTTGGAACACTCTCTTCAATTTGATCATCAAAATTAATATAATTAAAAAAATATCCATTAATCCATTGGAAATCTTGAAAGAATTAAGGTGTAAATCCTTTGGTTGGTAGATTAAGGTTTTATTAGGATGAGTTTAATTAAATTTTATTCCAAGATTAGAATATGGTATGAAAAAAATAAACCTTTATACTGACTTTAAATTTTTTAATTCAGAGAACGAGCCACAAGACATGGATCACGATCAAGGACACCATGACTCCAGGTTTCTAGATTTTTTATTATTTTTGAATGACATAATTTTTGCTTTATTTAAAATGTGTGGGAGAATTGGATATATATATATATATATATATATATATATATATATATATATATATATATATATATATATATATATATATATATATATATATATATGCTCATGTTAAACATCAAAATATCATATTTACCTTTGATAAACATCAAACTATCATATTTGCTCAAGGTTCTTTTTAAAAAAAAGTACAACTTTTTTATATTTTTAAATACTTATATTTTTAATTTTCTATTAAACAGTCTTGATAAATTTGCAATTTAACTTCAAATGTACATCTATAAGATCAATTACTTTGCTTGGGTTTTGTGTGTGAGGGAGAAAATTGTGAAGTGAGTTTAGAATTGAATTAAGGATAACCTTTACAAGTGATCCATTTCAAGAATTGATTTGATATCAACTATCTTTTGTTTTGCGCTTGATCATTTTGTTCTCCTATAAGTAAAGTTTATTTGTATATATTTTTCAGAATCACTTCAACTTTGGTCAGCGATTTAAATAAAGTTCTGAGCGATGTTGTGTCCATGTCAAAAACGATGGAAAGACTGGGTGATCGTGTTGTATATCTGGATGAGGAGTTGCCAAAATTTATAGAAACACAACATCTTCCGTCTATTATTCCAAAAAATCTAATCGAACAACGGTTACTTATAAAACCTTTTAGTGAGCATTTTGATCTTCGTAGCTTTCGCTGTTGGCTGAAAGGTGTAGAAGAAGCTTTTGATTATTGTTTTGTCCCAGATGATGAACAAGTAGATGTGGTCTGCAAATTTCTGCTAGATGGAGAGGCTTCCAAATGGTGGAAACGTATCCAAGATATAAGCATGCAAGTTGATAAAAAAAGTCCAATTAATTGGCCTAAGATGAAGAGGCTACTTATGGCTAAATTTCTTTTTCCTTATTGTTAAGGGGTTGCATGTATTTGGAATTTAAGAAAATTAAAATCCTTTAGGCTGTTTGCTAGAAAATATTTGTTATCCGGTGAATTACGAACATATCCTTTCATCTTTTTTTCAACTTTTATTTTTTTCACTGTATTCTTTTCTTACCCTTTATATTGACAATATTATATCGAACAAATATAATTCATTGTGGTAAGCAACTTTATTTATTTCCATCCTATTTGATTTTTTGCCTTGGTTGATTCAAATAATGGGTTCGATGGTTTAGCTTTGATACCCACATCTTTTATTGAAAAAGGTGGATAGTAAACCAATTCTTGCAAATAACAAACCTCCGTAACATCAGCATTGGCTAAACTTAACATTCCAGCAGATATCAATAAAAGTTTTGCATATTTATATTCTTAGACTTGTACAATAAGTTGTTGAAAAGCCCTGTAAAAACCGTTAAAAAAAACTTCATATCTCAGAAAAAACCCCTGCAGCAAGATGAAAATGTTTTGTTTGGTAAAAATCCCAAAAAATATAACCATTTTTTTTTGTTCAAAGATAGTCATTACTTTTACAAACGTTTGGGATTTTTTAAGGGAAATGACTTAAAAGGGTAACACCAACCAAGTTTGACATGTTCAAACAAACACTATTCAATTAAGGGTTTTGTACAAAAACCACCAACAAAGTAAATGATTTGTTCAAATCTTACCCATTGGGTAAATGGCATGTGTAGATTACAAGAAAATTTTAGTTGTGAAAATTAATTAAGGAAAAATGCATTATGACCTGGCAATCAAACGTGTAATGCCCGAGTCGCCATGTATTTTCCTTCGATTTATTTATGTGTTTTATATTGTGATTTTTGAGGAAGGTCGTAGGGCGTACATAGTGTACGTACAGTGTACATGTTTGAGGTGCGAAGCGATGAGAAACCTTGCGTACGCTGGACGTAATCTATTCAGTTGCAAACCCTAATTTTAGGGTTTGCACCATATATAAAGACCTTATGTCCGCCCCAACCTTCATTCTCTCAGTCTCCATTGTTCTCAAAGAGTATAAATCGAACCCTAAGCCTCTTGCATGCCTTGTGAGCTAATTTGGTGCACTTTTGGGTGATTTTTGGTGGTTTTGAAGAAGAAAGAGTTATGAGAAGGAGCAAGAATGTGAAGAGAGCTTGTAGATCTTTGGTATATATTCTGACTCATTTGAGGTATCAAGCTTTACCCTTGACCATTGCATGCTTAGTTATGGTTTTGGGGTGTTTTATGTGGCATTTTGGCTCCAAAGTTGAGGTTTCTTGTATTCGGATAGTTTCAGTCCATAAGAGCTGTCCTTTTGAGCTATTGGAAGCATTTATAACCATAAAAATCGGACCTTCATGGTTAAGCCACAACCATGTAAGTGTTAGATGGCCACAAAGTGTGATTAAGGACTTAATTCATGTCTTAACTCCATCCATCCATGCAAAGACATAAAGTTTGTAACTTTATGGTTTAGGACGTTTAAAAGGGTCTCGATCTATGTTTTGGACGTTTGGACTTAATGGATTAAGTCACAAGGAAGTCTCTTGGGTGGCTGGCCAGTACGCCAGGCGTACCCCCTGTACGCTGCGCGTACTGGGTCAACCTCTCCGAAGTGGTCAAGGCCAGCGTACGGTGGGCGTACATGCCAGATACGTTGTGCGTACGCATGCAGAGTGGTCAATTGTGTTTTTGGGCCTAAGGATGTTAGGCCTAAATTTATTGGGCCTCATGACCCACTGTGGAGTAAGGCCATTAGGCCTAAACCTATGATTTATTGTATTATGCCTTAAGGATTAAATGGATGGACTTGGGCCTTAATATGGTTATAAGATGGGCCTTGGGTGAAGGAGGCCAAATAGGGCAAGGAATACAAAGCTTTACCTTAGGACATGAATTAGAAGTTAGGGCCATAAGGGAGTCAAGTTTGGATCCAATAACTATTACTATTACTATTACATTTATTTTTATTATTATTATTATTATTATTATTATTATTATTATTATTATTATCACTATCATTATCATTATCATTACTACTACTACTACTACTACTACTTTTATTATTATTATTATTATTATTATTATTATTATTATTATTATTATTATTATTATTTTATTATTACTATTATTAATATTACTATTACTATTACTATTATTCTACTACTACTACTACTATTATTATTATTATTATTATTATTATTATTATTATTAGTTGTGAAACCCGTATATTATATGGATTGATTAAAACAAAATGTTAAATAGAAACGATTAAATGAGAAGTTTATTTGAATTTGAAATTTGAAATAAATAAAAATTATGAGAAAAAAACATGCAAAAAATAAATAAATTAAAATTATTGTTTAGTTATCAGACCCATATACTAAACATGTTAATTACAACAAAATGTTAAACACAAAGGTTTAAACTGTAAATTTATTTGAAATTGAAATTGAAATTTAAAATTAAAATTTGAAATTAATATCATTATGGTAGGTTTAATTTACGGAAACTAATTAATAATATATTATAAATGGAAAATGAAATAAATGACAAGTGGAAAATAAATATATCTCTAAATTATGACAAAATGACATGTGACAAATTGAATGAGAGAAGAACATGTAGCAAAATCATTCTTATTTATTAGGGTAGAAGATTACCACTACTACAACTATTATTATTATTATTATTATTATTATTATTATTATTATTATTATTATTATTATTATTATTATTATTATTATTATTTTTATTATTATTATTATTATTATTATTATTATTATTATTATTATTATTATTATTATTATTATTATTATTATTACTACTACTAATACTATTATTATTATTATTATTATTATTATTATTATTATTATTAACGGATGAAACACGACGACTTGTTGGTGTCGAAATAAATGTGACATTTGTCACCTCTTGGTTTGGTCGGCTGGGGACTGTAGCTAGCAGTCAGGGTGCGGGATGGTTTGTCCCATATAGATCTATACACACAATGTCCGCTCTCCCTCGAGGAGACTCTGGTTACCAACGTGACAACGGTGAAATTCGCGTCATGAGGATGTATCTCATACTCTAAATGTTATGTTCGTGTATGTTCCTTCTGTTTACTTGTAAATGTATATGTATATGTATATGTTCTTTTCTTTGTACTTTTATATGTATATGTTCTCTTCTCTGTACTTGTATATGTATATGTTCTTGTTTGTTCCACATCATAGTAAGTTATGTTTGTGTCTCATCATAGTATGTTCTTGTAATAGTAAGTAGTGATCTCCTAAACAATACCTATTATAGTTTACTTGAAGTGTTGTTTGTATGCTTTAGCATTTTTGCATACCTTTGCTACCCCAAAGGCATGGAACTGAAGTAAAAACTTTTATATCTATACACATATACATAATATATAACTAAGATTTCAACGACCTTCGGACAAATAACTGGGTACTCTAAGTCCACAACCTAACAAGGAACAAGAAATAAAGTGGGCTATCAGTCCTAAGTCCTTCAAATCCTACTTATATAACTATATCTGTATAGACATGAATTTAATAATAATATAAGTTTAAAAGAGTTTCATGAAAGGTTTAGTAATTAAAAGAGTTTAGAAAACAGTTGTTTGATAACACATTTTGAAAAGTATACAAATCTATTTGATTCACAGTTATTAATCACACGTGATTGATATAATAACTTAATAATTCAACTTGTATCCCCCCCCCCCCCATAAAAGCATTTAAAATCATTTCAAAGGTTGATTTAGGGGTATGAACTCACCTGAAGTGAGTAACTCGAATGAAAGATCGATATAGGATTGTCGGGTGTCAAATGAGTCTTGAGCACAAACAAATCCTATTTAACATGTAATTACACATATATGAATACATTTAGGGTATAAAACCACTAATAGACATATGGACACGCCTTAGGGACATAAAAATACTTAGAATAGGAGTGTAAGGCCACAAAAACTTGACTTTTGGGTGTGTGCGGCCAGGTGTACGGCCAAGGTGTGCGGACTGGCATGAGTGCGGCCGCACACTCCCTAAGAAGTGTGTCCAAATTGTGTTTCCAAGCCATGAGGGTGTTCTAAAGGACAATGTTTTGGCCGTTGCTAAGCTTGGATGGGTGTTTAAGGCCATTTTAGGTGCTAAAATAGTGTGTGCGGTCACACATGGCGTGTGCGGCCGTACACACATGAAGATCTTAAGAAGGTGGTGATCTTGAGGCTTAAATCCATGAAGAAGGTAAGCTAGGGTGATGCACTAATGATCTAAGGTAGTATACTTACCTGATTGAAGAATGAGAGGGAGATCTTGGCGGTTCTTGAGAGAAAATGTGTCCTAGCTTTGAAGGAGTGGGAAATGGGTTTAAAGTTAGCCAAGGGTCCTATATATAGGTGTGGGTGTAAGGCTGGGAGGGTGTACGGTTGGGTGTATGCGGCTGGGTGGCCATACACTCAGGTGTGCGGCCGCACACACCATGTTTGGTGTGTTTGGCTCAATTTCAAGATGCCTCACACTCACAAACCCTTCATAAGACCCATATCTAGGTTATACTAGGCTTAAAGCACTCATATAGACCCAAGATTGCGTTAAAAGATACCAAAAACGAGGCTAACTTGGATAGAAAATGATGTATGATTGCACAAGCTAGAAATTTCGAGTTGTCACGGTAGGGCTTCTCGCCACCTTTACGTGGATATAAGGTTCGGTTGAAACAGACATAGGATGAGGGAGTTATGGCATTTTGAAGATATTGGCAAATGTGGCCCCTAATGGAAATATTTGGCAAATCAGCCCCATGCATGCGAGGGTGCATGCACGTGTTTGGATGGGTACGCCTAACGTATAAGGCAATGTGGGTTGCAGGTGGTTTGTGTGTATGCTGGGCGTACTAAGGGGTACGCGGGGGGTACCCCATTCAGAGCAAAACCCTAATTTCGGGGTTCCTACCCTATATAAGCAACATTATACCACCCCTTTGGTCATTTTAAGTCAGCCGCCACCTCTTTTGACGTTCATGAAACCCTAAAGCGCCTTGAGTAAGTTTTTGGACCTTGGAGATGAGTGTTTATGGTGATTTGTGTAAGATAAGAAGAAAGTTGATGACTCATTACCTGGAGGGAGCTTGTAGATCCAAAAAGTTCTCATCTTTTGCAATCTAAAAGCTATGATCTTTTCTTCTCATTTCATAAATCTTCTTTTGGGTTTGTTCTTAGTCATTTTAGCCTCTTTTGGGTGGTTCTTGTGAGTTCTAGTTGTTTTAGAAGTTGTTATCGTGGATTTGGATGTTTTGGGTGTCCCAAAGGCATAAAAATGTGATCATTATGGTTTAGTTGGACTCATGCATGTGTTAAGACCTTTCATTAAGCTCTTTTAAGCTCCAAAGTCCCATTAAACCATGTATGTAAGTAAAGTTGCCAACTTTAAATATTAAATCATTTGTGAGAATCAGACTGGAGAGTTGGAACAAAGGCTGAAGTGATTAAGTGCTTATTAAACTCACATCTGGCTCAAATAAAAGAGCCAAAGTCGAAGTTATTTAGAATCAAGAAATTTATTTAGAATCAAGAAAATTTTACATAAACTCACATCTGGCTCAAATAAAAGAGCCAAAGTCGAAGTTATGCTATTGGTCGATTGGGTATTTGTTTCACAGTTCAATGGGCCACGGCCCAGGGGATAAGTTTAGGGTTTGATGTTACGCCTATAAAAATTGATGCATCTCCACCTTAGGGTTCCGGTACAGCGTAGAGCGGAGGAGAAGCCGGCATATCAGGGGACGATTGCTTCACGTAATAACGTTAATCGTGAAAACCCAATCTTCCGAGTCTACTAATTTCATTACCGTGTGATTTCTGATACTGATCCCGATCCCGATCCCGATTCGAGGACAATGGTTTTGTTTAGTTATTTTATAGGGTTTGTTTTCTGTGTGTCTTTTTCATTCTGATATAAGTTTCCATGGTTCATCGACTCTGAAGAAATTAAGTTTATTTATTTTGCATCAAATTTAGGCGTAAAAAAGTTTCAAATTGATCGAAAAATTAGTTTTTTTTAATTCCTAATTGGAGGAGCTGTTGACTATCGTATAAAATGCCTCTACAAAGTTGTTTTATTTTCATCATAGTTTGGCTTTGTTTGAAGGGGTACAAGAAAAGTCGAATATTAATGTAAAATTTGTTTTCCCATGGTTTTATGTGCGTGATTCATGGATTTGCTGTATGTTTGGTATTGTTTAACTCTCTTGATTGGTTTTATTCAGGTCATTTGTACCTTTGACTTTTGAACATGTTTGCTGCTATGATTATGTAGGAACATTGAACACATTAGTTTTCTTACATAAAGAATTATGTAATATGTATTTTGTCAGTTTATAAAAACTTAAGTATGAATACAACAGTTTATGTACATGTTTACATGCATAGCATAAGCATATGTAGTCTGCATCAATAATTTATAGTGATTGGGCAATTTTAAGTGGGATCTGGTGAATTAATTATCCATATGTGTATCACAAGGCAGTTGAATTGGTTTTTGAACTCTTATTCAGGCTTCAAAAGTCAACCAACCCCAGATGGATGGGGAAAAGAAGACTGGATCAGGTTTGTATGCAATTGGCAATTGCTACTTTCTGTTGCAAGAGCTTCCTGTTAATATATTTGTTTAATTAGAATTATAGATACACAGAGAACAAGTCACTTAGCACTTATCCATCCTTGTATGTAAAAGATATACAAAGAAGAAGTTGATTTAAAATCTTTAAGTTGTGATTTGTTAATCATGTAACTCTCTAATTACTTATACATCTGTAATGCCTTCTTCTATGGAGAATGGAACAGCCAACACCGTAGATAGGTCATCAAGGTGTAGGGTTCTGACATCTGGCTTTCTCTTTGGAACACTCTCTACAATTTGATCATCAAAATTATTATAATTAAAAGATATCCATAAATCGATTGGAAATCTTGAAAGAATAAGGTGTAAATCCTTTGGTTGGAAGATTAAGCTTTTATTAGGATGAGTTTGATTAAGTTTTATTCCAAGATTAGAATGTGGTGTGAAAAAAATAAACCTTTATACTGACTTTAAATTTATTAATTCAGAGAAGGAGTCACAAGACATGGATCACGATCAAGGACACCATGACTCCAGGTTTCTAGATTTTTTATTATTTTTGAATGACATAATTTTTGCTTTATTTAAAATGTTTGGGAGAATTGCATATATATTCTCTTGTTACACATCAAAATATCATATTTGCCCAATTCCCATTTTTTTTTAAAAAATTTATGATCTTTTCAAATCCTTATATTTATTAATTTTCCATTAAACAAACTTTGATAAATTTGCAATTTAACTTCAAACACCTGTCTAAAAGAAAGTATTGGAAGAAGGGTTCTATTCCAATATGTTGCTAGTTGTTTGTATGTGATTGAGAAAATTGTAAAGGGGGTTTAGAACTGAATATGTTAATGAATCAGGGAAAGTTTTGAGAAGGAATTGATTTGCTATCAACTATCTCTTTTTTATTTTTTGCACTTGAGCTTTTTATGGTTGTATAAGTAAAGTACTTCTGTTTATATTTTTCAGCGTAGATAGTTTGGGTTTATTGGCCAACAATATAAATAAAATTATGAATGATATTGAGTCCATGTCAAACACACTCAAAGGTCTGGACACTAGTGCACACACTATTGAAGAGCATTTCAAAAGATATGGTCTACTGCCAGAGCCAAAGCCAGAGCCAGAGCCAGAGCCAGAGCCAAAGCCAAAGCCAAAGCCAGAAGTTGAAATAGGCCCAAAGGATTTTCTACCATCTTTCCCTGAGAAGTTTGATGGTCTACAAGGTTTTTGTAAATGGATAGAGAGAGTAGAAAGCAATTTCCGGAGTTTTCCGTTGTCAGGGGTTGACAAAGCTGAACTTGTATTCAACACATTGCCACAGGAAGGAGAGGTTTTTAGATGGTGGCAAGGTATCCAAAATTTAAGCAAGCAAGTCGATAATCGCAAGTTTACTTGGGATGAGATGAAGTTGCTGTTTATGGCTGAATTCGTTTCTCCACAATGTTTGGTACCCAACAAGAAATCCAAAACATCCTTGTAATGCTTTCAAATTTACCATGGAACATTATGATGTGTCAAGTTGTACACTCATTAATTTATGTTAATTTTTATGTATTACAAATAACAAATAGTGACAATAAAGACCAACTTTTAATACATAAAAAACACTAAGACGTATTCAAAATATATTAAACACTTATAAAGGGAATAAAAATATATCATCAATTTCAAAAAAAAAATCATAATATAGAAAGTTATTGGTCGTTAATTTACTTTTAAACTCAAACACTATTATACCAAAAAAAATTTAGGTAATAAGTATGGACTCATTTCTTCAAGCCTTGGTACAAATATCTAAAATATATTATTTCTATATATAAGAAATAAGAAATAACATAAACAAATAAAGATAATATAAATTTCAATAAAGCGATTATCATATTTGCATTCAAAAACATATTAAACACTTATAAAGTCTATAAAAAAAATTCTAAAAACACAATTTATATTTTTCTATAACAAGGAAGGTTGTTGATCTTTAATATACCTTTCATCTCAAACATAATTATATCAAGAAAATTTCATGTTGAAGTAACCATGGTTGCGGGAAAAGTCATTCTTCAAGTCTTCGTATTGAATCATTAACTTATTCAACAACATAAATGTTTTTGCAACAAATTCTTACTTATATAAATGAGAGAAAAAATAAAAAATCAAAGATTAAATGTCATTAACATAATAATTATAAAAATCAAGTTAAAAAAAACTTTTCAACGGTTGTGATTAATTAATTAAACGTTGAAGGGTTGTGGAGGTTTTAAATAAATGTGGTGCGAAATGATGATTTATTTTAAACTAATAAAGAGGCACGTGTGTTGCACATAACTTTTTTTTTTTTTTTTTTTTAAATGTTTGATGGGTCAGGGAACAACATGGTGTAGGACAAAGTGGAAATTTGAAAAAAAATAGATGTCTTCCAACCATGGAAATTGTAATGCATTGACCTGAATATTTTTACAACTTATGACAATCAAGAGAAATACGTCATCAACCACGATAGGATCTAGTGATAATAGGGCACCCTTGTAACCCTACATTCTAGATGCTATCAACTTCTTCATACTTATATATGTCAACATTAGGCTCAAAGATAAAGTGCACAAAAAGTTACGTCATTTTGAGAGCAGGTTAATATTTTTAAGATATATGCATTACCGTGATCTCAAAAATATAATTTTCATAGAAATACAACTTAATATAAGAGGAATATAACAATTATAACAAATATAAGTCTACAGTTGGTAAGAAATTACAACGACGAAAACTACGAAGAAAATAATCGACTTTTAAAGAATGTCATCAAAAGGAAAAACATACTACACCAAAAAGTAGAAATTATGAGACAAAAAACAACTAAAATAGATATCATGCGAGAGAGTTATTATTTTAACGATTAGAAATTTTGGTCGAAAAACAAGTTAAAACTAGCCAAAACGACCAAAATGAAAGTTGTAGTACTCGTCAAGATCTTTGCGAATATATAAAAGTCATTGAAAACGGAATTCGTATGTGAGAGATACGAAATTTACAAACTTCTTTTTATTATTATTATTATTATTATTATTGTTATTATTATTATTATTATTACTACTACCACTGTTACTATTATTATTATTATTATTACTATTATTATTATTATTATTAGCAATAATAATAATATTACTATTATTATTATTATTATTATTATTATTATTATTATTACTATTATTATTATTATTATTATTATTATTACTATTACTACGATTACTATTACTATTACTATTACGATTAATATTAATATTACTATTATTATTATTATTATTATTATTATTATTATTATTACTACTATTACGATTACTGTTACTATTACTATTACTATTATTATTATTATTATTATTATTATTATTATTATCATCATCATCATCATCATCATCATCATTATTATTATTATTATTATTATTATTATTATTATTATTATTATTATTATTATTATTGTTTTTTTTTGTGACATCCAAAATTTCAAGCCAATTTAAACTTTTAAAACATGTCAAGTTCATCAAAATATTACAACTTTGTTTTCGAAATATTAATTATCAGAGTATTTCCTAGAAACATAACATAACCGGATGAGCTGTACGATCACACTTTTGCCTTGGCGCGATCCCTTGGTGTACCTGAAACAATAAACTGAAACTGTAAGCCCGAAAGCTTAGTGAGTTGCCCCCAAAATACCGATACACATACAGTCCACATAGCAATATCAAAATTAGCAAATAATATCATTCAAAAACAGAACAACATGCACTGGGTCCACAGCTTTACAAGCTTGAATACCCCTTGGCCCTCAGTACGAGTCTGGAATACCTATCGGGCCCTCAGCTCGTATTTGGAATGCCATCGAGCCCTCACTACGAGTATGGAATGCCTATCGGACCCTCAGCTCGTATCTGGAATGCTCCCGAGTCCTCAATATGATTCTGGAATGCCTACCGGGCCCTCAATACATATCTGGAATACTCTCGGGTTTGTTGGCTACCGCACGGAGCAGTACAACCTCAACCCATCCCACATAACATGTCGACATGTAACAGATAAATGCACATACAGGTAATCAATCAGTATCACAGGCAGCCCTACAGATCTACCCAACTAGCATATCAACTGGCATACATTACTAACTCAACTCAACATATCAATAACTACTAGGATATCAAATCCAATGGGCCGGCCTTGGTGCCTTAGACCCGTTAGTATAGTGAGGATAACTCACCTTGTAGATGTCAGCTCGGTAAATAAATCATAGCTCTTCGATCACTCGTCAAAGACTCCACCACCTATTACCATAATACGAACATGCTCATAAGTCTTCATCCTCATAGAGTACTTCATAACGCAACTAGTTAATCCTGGTCAAAGTCAAAGTCCTTAGTCAAGGTCAACAGTCCATGTTGACCTTAACTCGTCGAGTACCCTCGGCTGCTCGCCGAGTTCCTTGAAATCATTACCCACCCGCCGAGTCACCGAGGTGACTCGTCGAGTTCCCACGATCCTTGATTGAGGCCCTAAGGCCACCCGTCGAGTTTCCTTCTAGTAACACATCGATACACATGCATTCCTAACTTGGGGAAAACTCATCCGACTCGCCGAGATGTTCATGCAACTCGTCGAGTCTATGGAAATCTTCATCGGACTCGCCGAGATGTTCTTCCAACTCGTCGAGTTCACGACTATCTTCATATGACTCGCCGAGTCGCCCTTGCGACCCGCCGAGTTCCTTCAGTCCTTAAGCCATACATACCTATTTTAAGCCATGTAATGGCTCCAAATTACAGATCCAAGCTTCCAAGGCATTCCTTTCACGTAAAATTGCAAACTTTACGTGCATGCATGGCTAAAAAGCTTCTTAGTGTCCAAAACTAAGCTCTTAATGGGTTTCATGCACAAGGGGGCCCTCATTCACGACCAAGACATGAACTTTATGAATCTAGAACTCGGGAAAGGTCCAGATATGAAGTTACAACTTCAGATCTAGCTCATGTCTTGCAATATCACCTTACTTAAACGATAAAAACCCTAGATTTCCACCATATGAGATCTAGAAGGGAAAAGAGATAAAGATGTCGACTTGATACCTTCAATGGGTGCTAACAGATTTTGGATTTCCACTCCTTCCTTTCTCCTATCCCTTTGTTCTCCAAGTTCTTCCTCCTATAAAGCTCTCCTTCCAAGCTTACAATGCACAAGATTGGCACAATACAAGGTTAGGGTTTTCTATGAGCTCTAACTGACTGCAAGGAGGACAAATGGGGCTTATGCCTCCTTAAATAGAGTGCATAACCCGGGACTTAGGGTTTCTTCTGCCAGCTCCTACTCGTCGAGTCCCTTTATGGACTTCGGCGAGTAGATCACTAATTTCGCGATCCCGCGTCGACACTACTCGACGAGTAGGCCATCCTTTACTCGTCGAGTAGGGCTTAAAAACTAAGGAAATTCTTAATTAATTTAATACCTGGGAATCGGGGAGTTACATTATTATTATTATTATTATTATTATTATTATTATTATTATTATTATTATTATTATTATTATTATTATTAATACTATTACTATTACTTCTATTATTATTATTATTATTATTATTATTATTATTATTATTATTATTATTATTATTATTATTATTATTATTATTACTACTACTATTACTATTACTATTACTATTACTATTATTATTACCATTATTATTATTATTATTATTATTATATATATTATTATTATTATTATTATTATTATTATCACTATTACTATTACTATTATTATTCCTATTATTATTATTATTATTATTATTATTATTATTATTATTATTATTATTATTATTATTATTATTATTATCATTATCATTATCATTATCATTATCATTATCATTATCATTATCATTATTATTATTATTATCATTATCATTATTATTATTATTATTATTATTATTATTATTATTATGACACAATTTCAATGGAGTTTGACGGGGAGGTGGTTAATTTTAAAATGAATGATGATTACTTTCAATATGATAATTTTTTTGTTAATTTTTTGGGTACTAATAATCCTTTGTCTGAGGACTGTTGTGAGTTTTCTAATGTTTATATGTAAGACTAATTTGTGGAGAAGTTGACAAAAGCATATAAGCTTGGGGAAAAGGAGAAGCAGATTTCTGCTGAGGAAAAATCAGAGAACAATCTAAAAAGAAAAAAAAACTTGTGGAAAAAGAAAAGGAGATGGTGAATGCTAAGAAGAAACTGAAAAGGAAAAAAATCTGAGGAGGATGAGATTGATGGAAAGAGAAGGATAAGAAAAAAGGAAAAAAGCTTTAGAAATCTCAAGAAGGACTCAACTGATAAAAATCTGAAGTCTTTCTAGTTTGTTGTGCAAGTTCCAGATCCACCTATTTTGCCCTATCTGAAGGGATCTGGAGTAACAAAGAAAAAAGTTGAGCTAAAAAGGAGTCCCAACCACACCAGTTGATAAATCTGG